TGGTTTAGTGGGCCTGGTGGTGTTGGGTTGACGGTTGGACTCGATGATCTTAGAGGTCTTTTCCAACCTCAATGATTCTATGATTCTATGATTCTAAATATTGTACAAAACACAACATTATGTAAGCAATTACTCATGTTGGCTATTCCTTCATGTGGTGGTGTAGTAAATACTAGAGTAGAAAGCTGTAGTCAAGTTGGGCTTGACACACTTCAAAAGGGGTGATGGTAAGATTTTTCTAAAATGATTTATGCTCCTATATGACTAAGATCCTTTGAAAAGTTATCCTATAAACATTCTAGGTTGTAGGATGTGACTTTTCTTTGGACTCTTTTAATGCATAAAGCATCTGCTGCATGGGGGGGAAGAAGTATAAGCATGTTGGGGTAATACTCTGCCTGTAGGATTACATTTGTGAACCACAATCTTTGTATAAACAATGTGCAGTTACTGTTGTCATTTTAACGTTGATGGAGACCAGTGATTTTTATTTACATTACCACGTCTGTATTGCTCAACACTTAAAATATAAAATTGAATTCATTTTCTATAACGTTTCATGATAGCAGCTGAGGATATTGCTTTGCTCAGTCAGCAACTATGTGGGAGATTTTAGAAAATATATCTTCGGCTTTTCCCTCTTGGCATTAAATTATGATAACTAGGAGAAAAATTGATTGTAATTTATTAATAAATAATGAGAAACTGCAGTATGCACTTGGGAAATTCTTATCTTAAAAGTCTATTGATGATAGCCACCTTTGCCTGCATCCTTCTGGTGTTTATTTCCACTTCTGCTTCAGATGGTAAGCACTTGGGAGCTGTGATTAGACTTTTTTCGTGTATTAATAATTGTTTTTTTTTTTTTTTTTTAATAAACTTGATAGAAAATTGTTTTGGCTATAACAGTGTTTTAGGGTTTTTGTCTTTTTTAATGTTTTGGAGGTACACTTCTTCAATATAATGTGCCAGAGTTCACTTCTCAAGTATGGATCTGTCTGAGGTGGATCCTGCTGGCTGTGTGCCTCCCACTGTTTCTCAAGTGTTCAGACATTTCATTAGCGCTGTTTGTATCCATGTTCTGCTGCCCTGAGGACATAAGAGAATGACTACAGCAGCTAGTCAGCTCCTTCTGATCAGTCTTCATAGGAAAGCTGGAAAAATACTATTTTTCCATTTTTTGAGACTGTTGGCAAGAAGTAACGAGTAGCTGTTATCAACAGTTCTGCACTGTACTGCCCTGAAGTTACTTTGAGGTAGTGTACCACTCTTACGAAAAGACTCCTTGCCCTGCTGTTTCAGAGAGGTGAATGACAATTAAGTTGTCATGGTTAATCTACTGCTTGTGGCTTTTCAGAGACCACATCATAACTTCCTTTCAAAATTAATTTTTAACTTAAAAATTTTTTACTATACTTTTTTTTCCCCAAAAAAACCTCCACCAGGAGATAAAATACTTCTTGATGTTGAGTTGTGCTATTTATTTTCCATTTTTTAATTGCCATAGTAGGACAGGAACCACTTTGAGTGGTAGAAAACTAAATTTGGAAGGGGCAGTGGCTTGTATTGCTTTTTCCAATTAAGATAGTATGTGATGAAAGTGTAATTTACTGGAGCCCAGTCACCTGTAAAGCAGGCCACATCAGCTGCTTTCTGGAGTTAGCTGCTAGCAGAAATTTGTCAGCAACAATTTAGAGCTTGATTAAAATTTTTGGGTTGGTTGAATATGAGGTTTTTAACTTCTGTTTTCTGGCTCAGGTGCCCAGTTTGGGGGGAGAGGTCAGGTTCTCAGGAAAAAAAAAACAAACAACACTTTTCCTGTCCTTTCAATATCACATGCTGCTGACCCTGGGGTTGCTTATACAGATATTCAAAGAAGGGGATTACCTTAACATAACCACAGTTCTTAAATAAGTGCATCTGTAGATCCCATAAGCTACTTTGCTTCTACTGCAGCATCAGGAGTTTTATTGCCTATGTTGTGCACAGTGACTGGCAGTATTTACTGCCAGTCGATTTGCTTTTTTTGTCTCCAAAAGAAATTATGATGATGTGCAAGATCTAACAGGACCCATAGCTGAAATAATTCTGAATTCCTGTGCATATCTGCAGCAGACATGGGGTATATATGTTCTTTACATCTGACTAATTCCTTAAGTAGGCAGAAGACTCTAGGTTGTCTCTCAAAGCACAACACTTTTTTTTTTTTTTTTAATTGTACTCTGTTTCTTGTGGCTGAAATAGTTTGAATTTTTCAACATAAAATCTACTGGAAAAAAATTCACCTGGCTTGAGCTATAAGGGTACTTGTTTGCCATTGAAAGTGCTTAATGTGTCTCTAACAGGAGGAAGATAGGCTATTGCAGAAGGTATTGGATATTTGTTGCAGTGTTGCTTTGACTTAGCAAAACATATAGTGTATGTTGAGCTCCTAAGTTTGTACTTACTGCTTGTTTTACTTCAATTAAGAATATATTGAAATGTTTTGTTCAAGCAGATCCTATTCCCATAACAGAAGGGGGTTTTTTAAAATTAAAAAAAAAAAAAATATTTCAATACTTTTATATCCATGACACTGTTTATAAATTACCTTCACAGTTTTTTGGAGTGTCAACTTACTTTGAATTGTTAACAAACAAAAACTCCCCTGCATTTCATGATATGAATGGAATGCAAGGAGAAAAAAAAAATGGAAACACCAGATACTTCTTCTGCTACAGCCTCTTGTTCTGTCCTATCTTCTGCCTGTGTCAAATAGTAATACTACATATTTGCATGGTCCTTAAATTGTTGTTTTGCTAATTTTGTTACTAAAACAGGCAACGACAGAGAGACCTTTTATACAGAAGCTATTTCGACCAATTGCTTCAGGAGGACAGTTGCATACTTTGGGAGATCTGCTAAAAGATGTGTGTCCTAGTGCTATCACCCCTGAAGGTACTGTAGAAATACCTTATTGGACAAAAGTTTATTTTTTCTGTTGATTTACTGTTTGTGGTGGTTTGTTTTTTTTAATATGAGGATTTTGGAGGTAGAACTATGTCTCAGTACCAGAGTTTCAGATTTCACTCCTTCCTGGCCCTTTAGCGTGCCCGTTATACATCACCTGCAGTGTTTGGAGAGGATAAGATTGAGTCCTTAGGCACTCCTGAAAAATTAATCTCTGGAAGTTTTATTTCAAAATTCATGTACTCCTTTGCCATCACACTGTTCTTAATAAAAATATTCACGTTATTTTCTGTATTATTAAAAAAATATTCTTAAAGCAATGTCAACAGAAGTTTTAAGTAACCTTTAATTTTATATTGCATAAACTTTTCATATGTAAAACTCCAAAACTGATAGGAATTGAAGATGTTTTCAGGATACTTTTTTCCCTGTTGAAGCCCAATCTTTAAAAATGTACCAGAAGAGAAAAAGATTGTTATAAGTATGTAATAGTTTATGTATGGTTCCTGAGTAGTATTGTATGACAAGATACCGATTAATTCATGTAGCATTATATCATTTCATACAACAGCATTTGTTGATCAGCACTTATTCAGAAAAATAAGCATTTCTGGATGTAAGTTTAACCTCAAAGATTACAACTATTGGAAGTCTGATATACTTTTTAGGTGGGATAAATGTAAAAGTTACGTACTCTGCAAATTAAGATCAAAATTATTTAATGTGAAATGTCTTTCATCTTGTTCTTGCTGTTGTCTTACCAGTACCTGTAAATGGGTAACTCTTTTTTCAGTCAATAAATCGCAATTTGTTTTGAGAAATGTCTGATATTCTAGAGAAGATCTTGGTGCAGAATTTACTGGTGTAGTATCAGCACCTTTTGACAGTAAAGCACTAAATTTGAAATCAGTGTAAAAATCTGTAAGATGTTGTTGTACGCAGAAGCTGTGTAATTCAAAATCAAACAGTTGTCATGGATTTCTTTAAGTATGGTGATCTTACAAATCGACTGAAATCTCAAAGTATTTTTTTACCCCTGTTTAGTACTTGTTAACACATGGAAACAATTTCCAAAAATAACAAAAGGTAAGAAAAATATGGAATGTTGCTTGCCATGTGTCCATTTTTCCTAAAGCTACTATAAATTTTAGAGCGTAATTTTAGGTAATGCTTTCAACTAACTGTCCAAAAGATAAAGCAAGATACAAATAGATACTTGAATGTTAGCACAAGCAAGTTTAACCATCTTTAAGTACTTAAGTGTGAGGATCCTACAGACACTAGTGAAAAGGTACAAAGTGAATTTAAAAAAAAGAGTAAGAAGGATGATGCCTTTTGAGTTGGAAGGCAGTCAAGAGCACAGATTAAATGAAAGAAACTCAAAAAGCATTTATGCAAAAGTTATTCCAGGATATAATGGATGATTATTTTTATGTGGATTTGCTAAAGCTGCAGATAGGGAATGTGCTAGTTACTGCCTTTATTAAAAGCATGAATGTAATGTAATTTTTTCTGAGTACCAGTGACTTGATGCTTTCCATTAGTAGTCCTTCTTTTCAGATGTCGACAAACGCGCCAACCTGTAATAGCAGAATAGCATAGTGCTATGCCAATTGCTTGCTTCATTTTTGTGCAAGGCTAAAAAAACCCCAAACCGTATATTGTTTACTCAATGGAAGCAAAAAATGGTGATTACTTGGAAGAAAAGAAACTAAAATAGGTACTATCCTTATACTTAGGAGGAACGATTTGAAATTTGGTGGAAGGATTTCCTTGTACTGGAATATACTTGTCTGTTCCTGTATAAATCTGCTTAAATTTGGCCTAGTTTTGATCCTTAAGATTCTACTGAGCAACTTGCAGACTTAGAGTTTAATAAATTTGATCCCTCACGTGGGTGTGAGCTATCTAGGATTCAGCAGAATTTCTCCTGTAATGCAGCTTTGTATTGTTGCGTTGTTCAATTGTTCCTCTTATATTCTGAGTGTTCTCCTCCTCTTCTGGTAGGTAACTGAAGGAAAGCTGTCTGAGCTAAATGCAGAAAATAATGTGAACTCTTGAGGAGATATGGGGATAGACTGATACATAGAGCCAGTGGAGGGGGAGACAGACTGACTGAACAAGTAATTTGGAAGAAAATGACAGATCTGGGAGTCATTAAATGTGATGGGGAGAGCAACTATAAACAATGTGGCAGGATGAAAGAGATTGGGGCAAAAGCCAAAAACTGACATAATAACTGTGAACACCTGGACAGAGTAAGTGGGATAGGAGATGATAAAAGGATGAGGGAGAAAAAGAAGCATATTACATGTGAATCATACGCTGAGACTATTCAAGTCATCCATGAAAGAATGGGAGTGGAAGTCCTGTTGGCGAAGTGATTCAGATGGCCTGGAGACCCGTTTGGAGAAACAAATTGAATCAAAAGTTGAGAAGAAGGGTAGTTTGCACTGGCAGAACAAGAAGATGCAGGTGGATAGGTGGTCAGGTGGAGCTGGAGATAGTCAGATAAGGGACTGGGGAAAACTTGTTCAGGGTTTGCTGTACAAGTAGACTGCACCCCAGACAGGAATATATGGTAGAAAATTAAGCATGCCAATATGGAAAGAAAAAAAGACCTAGGAAATAGATCAGGAAGAAGCAGAACTAGGACAAAATGGAGGGATGATAGAGAAAGGATCAGGCTTGTGGAAAATGACCTGAAAGGATGGATGCCCATGACAGCAGTGATTCTTACTGCTGAGGAACATGCACAGGTAAGGTCAGTGCACTTAAGAGGTGTGGAGAGCAGCACTGGTTTAGGCTTGACTGCTTCAGTTTATCATACTCTGTTCACTGATGATTCAACTTAGCCAATAAGTGAACTTTGATTATTCTCTTGCTTGGCTTAATCCACTCATCTTATTCACTATTCAGATGTAATGCGCACCATATTAAGTGTTCATGCTCTAATACAGCTTTGAGCTATTAAAAAAAAAGCCCACTAACTCACCAGACTGCATAGTGCCACTTTTGAGTTTTGCCTATAGAAATGTTAGCAGACATAACGAGGACATACATCTCCCTTTTTTCCAGCAAGTGGACTAGACTCCTGAGACTACAGAACCTCAGCACATCTGTGCTGCTGAAGTCTTCATGAAACCCACTCAGTCAACTTGTTTTCTCTCTGATGCTGGCTTACTGAGAGTTTAACAAGCTTCCTCTGTCAATAGATGCTCCATCAGCTCAAAATGCAGAGGAGATTGTAGAGCTGAGTGTTTCTATCCATTTTATGGGCATATGAGAATTTAATTTGCAAGCATTTTTTGGAAACCTGGGAAACTATGCATAAGTGTGTTTTTTCTAAAGTAGTTGTATCCATTTGAAATTGAATACTTGAAATTTAGGAGGTGTCAGAGTTGTAGACTACCTGTACAGTCTTAATTTCCATACACATGTACACTGATCATTATACAGCTCATAATCACTCTCCACCTCTCATCTCCCTTTGTTTTCTGTGAGACTTTTGTCTTCCTGCACAGGCTGGGCATGTTTTAGTGTCAGGGCTGTGTAGTGAAAAATCATTGTCCTGATTGTTGAAATGATGGATGGGGAATGAATGTACATCAGGAAGTATTATAATTTAGGCAGCTGAATACTGCCTTTGGGAATTGAATTCAGTTCTTTCTTCCCCAGGGAGTTCATTCATATGTGATACTAGGCAAACTGAGTGTTACAAACCCATCCATTTTATAGAGAGGAACACCAGAAAAATCCAGTGATCAACGTGAGTGTTCTGCTGAACAGCTTGCTTGCTTGTACTTGGAATCAGTGAGAGCTCTGGGACTTTGAGTGTGCAAACACCAAGCACTCTCTGAAGTCAAGTTCTAGGCCTCTCGTTACTCTTCTTCTCTCCCACCTTCCAAAAAATTGATACTTCTGGCCATAATGTCTCTGAGTTCAGTATGTGATCTATAAAATGATGATAATACAGCCTCTTTCCACAGGAAAATCTTGATGAAACAGTTTCTGAAGGAAAAATAGCTTGTGGTCAAGACTGTTTGAATTTCATTATATTAAAAATTGTCCTCTTTGGACCTTTTTTGGTATCTTCTAATTCTTGTTCTTGTAAACTTACATGTTTTGTCTTAATCTACAATTTATATTTATTCTGATCAAGGCATTAAAATAATATTGTAACAAAATAGAATACCTTATCAAAGGTATATTAGAAAATGATGGCAAACTCTTCCACATCTGGATTTTCAGACTTTATTCAGTGCTATCAAAGTTTAGATCTACTTAATTTTTCTGAAGAAAAAAAAAGTAGTATCTCAAAGATATGCTTAAAGACATAATAGATATTGGTGAAGCAAGTTGTTTTCAACCTTTTTCACTCTTGTTTTTAAAAAGTAATTTAGATATTTTTTCCAAGACTGTTTTTTAAGCCCCCTCTGTAGTGAATTAATGTATTGGTGACATTAGCTGCATCTTTTTGTCAGTGCAACACAATCAATATGAGCTTCTCTCTGTTTTTCTCCATCTGAACTTTTTTTTTTCCTTTTTCCTCTATGGTTTTCTCTTTTCCAATGACTTTTCATTCAGCTGGAAGCTTCATGGTAATTGTGGTGATTGCTTGTCTATGGTGGCATCCATAGCTGAGCTTTGTGCCGTGGGAACCCAGAGAATATATGATTTTCAGACTCAGTATTTGTAGCCATATATGTGAGCTGTTCCTGCTGCCAGATACTTAGGGACCACCACAAGAAGAGGGAGGGAAGGGTTTCAAGAACCACCCACAGTGTCTATATGCCTTTGCTTTAGGAAACATGGATATAATTAAGTCTCTCTTTTAACTGTGCTGAGAAAAAATATTTCAATGAAAAAATGTATTTTTATATATACGTGGATTGAATATATATGTTGATTGCCAATTGTTGAAAACACGATTTAAAGAACGTTGTCAGAAGTAGAACAGGTTGAATAGTAGCATTAAAACACCGATA